ACACCATGAGATACACAGGCAGCGGCACCCCGGGTCCTTTCAGTCTGGGGTTTTCGTTTGTTTATTTTCTTCTCCCAAATTTAATACCGCACTGGTTCTGTGCCATTTGCCTGGTCCTTAAGTGAAATTTCAGGACCTGGCTGCTAGGTGCATTTGGGCTTCCACCTCCAGAGACGTAGTATTTGAGATCCGCACAAGTTTGCAGCATTCCAGCTCTCCCCAGGGCGCTCAGACCAGCTGGGCTTGAGAGCAGAAGCGTCTGTCCGAAACGCCCTGCAGCCTGGGTCAGCCTCAGCAGTCTCGAGATCAGCTGTGAATCTTTTGGCCAAAGTCCCCGCTTCCGAAGACATTTCTGATTTGTAGTAACGTAGGTTTACTAGTATAAAATGGGCCAGAAAGTGCTTTTTAGCTCAGTGTATTCCGTCAGACGTGTCCTGCGGTTCGGAAGGGCCGTCTGGGCGGACCGGGCTGTGCATTCAGCACACGGCGCCCTCACTCCCACCCGGAGTCCCCTAAACCATACACAGCGTGAGCAATATATATGTGTATTTTTTCACAAGGTAGCGTCTGTGTGCGACACTGCACGTGACTCACGGGGGGGGGATCACGCCTCTGCCCGGCCTGTCTCCGCACCGCACCCACCACGGTGCCCAGTGACCTGTGGGCCCCTCCCTTCCTCTCCAGGACCTGAGTCCACTGTCAGGCTTCTCGGGTTGCAAACCTAACTTCTGAAAAATAAGCCTCACGGGCCCTCCCTGCTGGCGCAGCGGGCTGGAGCAGAGCACTAAGATGCTGAAGCCGCTTCCGCATGAGCTCGATCCCCGCCTGCCCTGGGGGTGACCACACGGCGCGGCAGACCCCTCCTGACCGCCCGCTGCTCCCCTCAGCAGTGCGCTTCATCAGTCGGCCCATTCTGAAGCCTCTCGCCGCCCCTGCAGCTCTGGCCTGTACCCAGTTCTGTGTGCATAAATAAATCAATCTTTTTTAAAAAATAACACCTCACATATCAGTGAAAAACGCAAAGGGTCATATTATTTCAGAAAATATATAGTATAGGTGTCTCCACACTGGGCTTGTGATAAACTGCCACCGAAAGGCAATTGTTTAAGTTATTTAAGAAAGTGAAGCTGTTCAGAAAGGCGCAGACAGAGGACAGCCGTGTGGAGGAAATGACGCCGTCAGCGCTGCCCACGTCAGCCGGGGCCTGGAGCTGCCAAACTTCCGGGCTGTGACTTCACTGACTGGGTTTTCTCTCTCATCGGCAGCTGAATCGCAGTGACAGTGACAGTTCTACCCTGGCTAAGAAATCCCTGTTTGTGAGAAACTCCACTGAGCGGCGCAGCTTGAGGGTCAAAAGGGTACGTGTGCCCCATCCCGGCAACACCCCGTCCCCGATGGGGGGCTCAGAGCCGGGCGCCTGGAGGCCCTGGGTCTCGGGGTGAATGCTGAGGACAAACTGGCGGGAAGGGTGGGCCGCCCCGAGCTCAGCGGGCCCCGCTCACGCGCCACGGCCCCCACTCACCCCGTAGGAGCCTGTGAGCCTGGCACAGCTCGAGGTGACGCAGGTGCTCCGGGGTCTCGAGGAGGCGCCTGAGCCCATCACGGGTGTGGTGGGCAGAAGCTCGTCCGATAGGGGGTCACTGAGGCTTCAGGGCGGGGGGTTCTGAGGTACCCAGGACTCGGGAGTCACTGAGGCTTGTGGGGGGTGGGGGGGGGTTCTGAGGTACCCAGGGCTCGGGATGGCTTTCAGCATAATGGCAGCGGGGGTTGTGGAATAGGACGGGGTGCAGGGAGGAAAGCACTCAGAGGCTCCGGTCGACAGTGCCCCTGCTTGGTGCTGAGTGGGGGGCCCGCGCAGCCTGGGAGGGGAAGCCTCTCCCGTGTCTAGTGGCTCAGGCTCGGGCCCAGTGTGAGAATGAGGGGGGTCTGGCCGCCCTGGTCCCTAGTTTGACCTCCTAAAAACCTAGAGGCGCAGATGCTAGCACTTAGCATTCAGCACTTCCAGGAAATCTCCAAGTATAAAATATTCAGGCTGCCACACCGCAGGCTTCAAAAGCACCGAGTTACCATTATTTTGAAAATTCTTGTCCACTCCATCAGGTGCCTGCATTTTTAAGCAGCACCTCCCTTAGCGATGGGAGAAGTTTGACCACTGGTGCCTTTTGATTCGAGAAAAGCGGTCGGGCTCCTCAGGTAGTCACTAGAACCTCTTAGCCAGAGAGGGGGAGGCCTGGCCTGCGCCGGGAGACCGCCCCGTGGCTTGTAGGTGGACACTTCGGTAGGTGAGTGGGGAGAGTGGCCGTCTGTGTGGCCGTTTGTGTCTGAAGCTGCTTAGGAGCCTTTCACTGCTGATGAGCTGGAGCTGGTAGGTCAGTTGAGGTCGGTGGAGAAGAAAGCCC